ATTAGCATCCGAGCTGCTTTGCTTACAGCCCTGATGGGGTAGTGAGTGGGTAGAGCCAAGGCTCATCGACTGGGAGTCCCATTGAGTTTGCTGGCCTCTCCGATAGGGAGTGAAGGGGAGGGTGAATGGGAAGGGGAAGCTAAAATAATCCCTGACTCCCCAGGGGTTAGGGAAGGGAAAATCAGCAAAGGTTGCTGCTCCATGTCCCTCTGCAGCGCCCTCTACTGGTTCTATAGACGTTCCTCTTTGACCACGCTTTTGGGCCACCTTTCTCCCCAACTCCTCTCCCCTCTCCCCTTACCTCTACCTCGGGGGGGAAACCTTAGACCAGGGACTTGGGACCAGGGACTTGGGACATCCTCCCAATGCGAAAGTTGGTATATACGTGTAGTCCTGTAGCTCAGTGGTTAGAGCCCTCGTCTTGCAAGCGAGAGGACCCAGGTTCGATTTCCGGGCAGGTCAGGGCGAAACCCTAGGCAATTTCTTACTCCCCCCACACACCCACACGCACGACTCTGTTTACCAGCAATAAGTAGGCTGTTAGTCGTCTGGTAGATTGCTTACTTGAGGGTAATAATCCCTTCAATAAAATAAATGTAGTCATTCAATCCACGGCTGTTTGTGGGACACTGATGTGCGCAATTGGCTGCTGTGATTCACTGTTGAATTCAGTCTTGACTTTAAAGGCTTTTTCCCCCCAGTGCGTGTGTGTGTTTAGTTCCGCAAAGAACCCGCGGAGAAATGATGTGTAAAATAATATCAAGATTGTATTCGAGGACTTGCCAAGATCTGGACGCTCTGAAAATAAATAGAATAAATCTGGTCCCAGACAGAATTTCTCCGCAGCAACTTAAACTAATCTTTCCATTACACAAAGGGGTAAAACTGCAGAGGAAGGATTTCTCCCGGTTGCTTTATATTCTCTGCCGATTTTTGGTTACTCCCATCAGTGCCCAAATCGTACACCTCACCTCCCTCTCTACCATGCGTGAGCTGCTGCGTGTCTCCCACAAAATAACACAGTCGACTCCACTTTACAGTATATCCGGTGAAGCGCTTTGAGACGTTTCATATCAAATGCAAGGATTATTATTATTATTATTATTATTTGCACACAGCGACGTCCCCACAAACAGGTCGTGATTCACAGCCCCAAAAGTGTGTTGAAAGCCGGATATAAGAACATAAGAATTTGCTGAGCGAAAGGAGACCAAGTCCCATCCAGTTCACCCGCCACCATCCTGGCTGTCACTTGCACATGTCATGTCCCAAACTATACGACTGTATCCCCAGATATTAATAGAACGTTAAATATCTGTCAAGCCTGGGCCAAGCGATGTGACAGTTATCACCAGTAGTAATTATCACACCACAAATCGTTTTCACCCCGTTTGTTAATTCGGAAGAACCCGGATATGAGGGTCTAAAGACTTCTATAGAAACCTGTGTAACATTACACAGCGTTAAAAACAGTGGCTGTGAAAGGAACAGCACAGTGAGCCTTGGAGTCGCATTAGCAAGTGAGCAGAGATTAGTAACAGGTTATTTTGGTAAACTGTAATTGAGTGATACGGAAATACAAGTCAAATTTACACTCAATTTGTTCTCACGCAATCCACGACGCTTTCTGGAACCTGCTGTGCGCAAACTGCTGCTACGTTTCACCCGCAAAGCCCACAGTCACTACACTTTACGGCATATTCTTTGAAACGTCTCGACGACGTGATAAGGCGCTGTCTCAAAACGCAGGGATTCTTATTAACCTCACCTTAAACTCCGAGCCATTGGGCTTTGTCGGGCTGAAATGCCTCCTCACCTCACCTCGCCTCACGAAACTTCACGTCACGAGCTGGGCAAGGGGAGTCTACGTAGAGGAGGCGTAGAGCAGAGCAGAGAAGAGCAGAGCAGAGCGGTGTGTCCCGAGCGAGCTTCTGCTCTGAAAAGAAAAGCAGAGAGGAAGAGAAAAGTAATTGAATTTCAACAACCCACCCCTCATTGTCATAGCCAGCTCGCTGAACTAAATCCATTCCATTGGTTTCCTGTTTCCCCGCAACCTTTGGCAGCTGTCACTGTGAACATGTGGGAGAGTCTCGCAAAAACCTCCTCTTTGCTGCCTCTTCCTGTCTGGCCAGGCTCCAGGGCTAATAGTTTTCTCCTTTCATAGTCCCAATAGCACATTTCCTATTCAGTTTCACCCCTTCTCTCCCTCTCCTCCGCACACACACTAATCCGAGGAGTCCCTGTAGCTCAGTGGTTAGAGCACTCGCTTCGCAAGCGAGAGGACTTGGATTCGATTCCCGGCCAGGGCTACACCTTGGGAAAGTTTCCTTACTCCACACACACACGCACACGCACCTGATAATAATCCCTCAAGAAGAAAAAACAATAATAAATCGGTCGTTTCAATCCACGACTGTTTGTGGGGACGCTGCTGTGTGCAGTTGGCTGCCGTGTTTCGCCCACAAGAAATATACAGTCAATTCATTTTACAGTGTGTCCTGTGAAGCGCTTTGAGACGCCTCGAAGGCGTGATAAGGCTCTGTATCAAATCCAGGATTATTATTGTTATTATTATTATTATAACCAGAGGTTTGGTTTCATACTTTCACTCTTAATCCCTGAACAGTAATGATCCTGGCATTTGATACAGTACCTTTACCACGTCATTGGAACGTCTCAAAGCTCTTCACAGAATATACTGTAAAGTGGAATGACTGTGTGTTTTGTGGGCGAAACGCGGCAGCCAATTGCACACAGCAGTGTCCCCACAAACAGTTGCGGATTGAGTGACCCAACTTCTTCTTTATTTTGGAGGGATTATTTCGCCCGGAAAGCGATCTGCCAATTGACTAATAACTGGGTTCCTACTTACTGTAAACAGCGGCGTGTGTTGTGTGTGTGTGTGGAGTAAGGAAACTTGCCTAAGGTTTCTTGCTGACAGAGAATCGAACCCAGGCCTTCTTGCTTGCGAACAATGCAATCACTGGCGCCTCTAAACCTCCCTTCTTCCCCCTTTCTCTTTCATTTCCCCCTCTCCCCGGACAGCCGACAGTTGAGTTAACCCCTTGAGGTTTAGGCCACGAGGCTGATGCCTGGTTTTCGAGGAATGAGTTAGAATAACTGTAAGGTTTAGACAAACTGGAGGTCACTTCAATCTTGAGAACAAGTCATCTCAGAGGGTACCTCAATGTACCTCAATTTAATATTGTAAATTCGATTGAAATATAATGCAACATGACAGCAGAACATGAGGACGTGGGGTTTAGAGGCACACAGGGGTAATTTCAGGACAGACACCAGGTAGTATTTCTTTACCTAGAGGGTAATTAACCGCTAGAACAGGTTTGTCAGGGGGAGAGGAGGGGTGGAGGCTGTTGAGCCGAGGACACTGGGACCCATTTGAGCAGCAGCTGTGAAGATCCATCCACACTCCCAGGTCAGGTATCAGCAAAAACAATTTTTAACAATAAAATTTATCCTCCAATCCATACACAGAATCTAAGAAAGCTTACAACTCAGAAAGGCCCCATCGTGTCTGTGATGGCTTCGCTCCCCCACTGGAGCTCTCTCTACTCTAACCCCATTCCCCTGTTAGATTTAGAGATTGCAAACACAACACTCAGTTCATCACATGCTTTATATGTGATATCTAAGAGGGGGAAATGAAAGAGAAAAGGGGAAGAAGGGAGGTTTAGAGGCGCCAGTGATTGCATATCTAAGTGCCGTGGTGGTGGGGCTGTGACATAGACACAGATTGATGTCTAACATGAGGTACTGTCTCTGATCTCGTACTGAGTTCCACCTCACACAGAGAGAGCTACTGGCATATTTCTGTTCTACATTAATGAAGGAAAGACTATTTTTAACACGGGAAACCAAACTGTTTATTCAAACCCACCCACAGTTGTTTATTATGTACACTGATTAACCATATGATGTGGACATGGCAACAGCCAAACAGATTGCCTTCTGGTGGAACGGGCAATTTGTCTTTGGCAGCCGGGAGTTTGACACATGTGGGAACCATCACCATGCAAACCAAGCTGAGAAATCCATGCATACATCTGACTATAGAGAGATGTCACTGTTAACATCAGAGTATCTAGAGTTGCTCATTGTTAATATCGGGCTTATATAAAGGTGTCCCTGTTAATATCAATGTCATCCTGGACTGTATGAGTTCAAAGTCTTGACTTGGGGCTTGAACCCACAAAGCCTCTGCCTCAGAGAGCAGACTTCTACCCTATGAGCCGGGCTGAACATGTTGTGTGTTGACAGTAAACAGATGATCTGACCACTTCCCACCCACAAATGTGCTCGGAGTCCAATCCTCTCCAATAATCCCATTGATCTGCTTCTGGTTCTACCTAACAAAGCCTCCAACCCATTGCACACAGCATCGTCCCACAAACAGCCGTGGATTGAGTGGCCACATTGTTTGTGGCTGTTTTTGTTTGAAGGGATTATTAACCCCAGGAAGCGATCTGCCAATCGACTAACCACCGGGTCCTACTTACTGCCGGTAAACAGTACTGGGGTCTGGTTGTGGGTTCAAGCCCCAAGTCAGAAATTTGTGGGGGGGTGGGGAATGCGCTGCTTATGTGATGTGCCATCCTTCACACCAGATGTTAAACCTCACCTGTGCTCTGTTCAGGTGGACGTTAAAGATCTCCACAGAGCTATTGGAAAAGAGAAGGGAGTTCCCCCCCCCCCCTCTCTCTCCCTGGGTCTTGGCCAACAATCCCCCAGATATAAACTGGTCACAGAACAAACAAACAACAAACAACTCTCCCAAAGCCCCCAGCTTTGTGCTGCTGCTCAATCATTAGCCAGCGGATAGTCCCCATTAGCACTTGGCGCTGGATCTCCAAACCTAAGTCCTGATTGGAGTCCAGATTAGGTCCATGATTGAGGCACCTTCTTTTTTAACCAAGTCACAAAACACACAGTCCCTACACTTTTACAGTATATTTCTGTGAGCCGTCTCAACGATGTGATAAGGCGCTATATCAAGCGCAAGGATTATTATTATTATTGTTATTATTTAAACGTTGCAAATTCCTCTCCCTTCGAGGCCAGACGAGACGCTCATTTCCCTTTCCTCTCTTTTCTCTCCTTCTCTTTCTCTCTCATTTCTTCCTCAGAGCCTCCGCCTTCTTCTTCTCCTCCTTCAGCTCCTTATATTTCCACTTGGGGAGCTGGAGGAGCTGCCGGTTCTTTGTTTTCCTTTGTCGCTTCTCCTTCTCTCTCCGGCACGTGGGCGGAGAAGCCTTGACCAGGAAGATTTGGGGGACGCAGTCGGTCGGAACTATGCTGTTTCTCTGCTTTGTCCTGCTGGAGGGGAAGCTGGTCACCCCACGGGGCTGGGCGGACCACGCACTCGCCCTCCTCTCCCCCGCGCCGGTCTCCGTCCCGATGATCTTCTCCGATTCGCAGTGAGAGATGCCCCCGTTCAATGGTTCCTTTTCTTCCCACTCCACCTTCCCATCCTTCTGGGAAACAACAGCAGCAACAAATTGCATTTACACAGCGTAGCTTCCCAGAGTGAGGGAGCATGACCCCGAGCCGGGGGGGAGGGGGTGGGTGGGGGGTGCGAGGAGGTGACCGTAGGCACAGCAGAGGTCAAAGAGTAAAGTCTTCAGGCGCGAACTGAAGATGGGGAAGGAGGGGGCGAGGCGGAGGGAGGGATAGAGAGAGAGAGAATTCCAGAGTTTCGGGGCGCAGTGGCTGAAAGCGCGGCTTTCGATGATGGAACGGAGGGCATGAGGGGACGAGCAGGAGGCCGGAGCCGGCCGAGCGGAGGCAGCGGGTAGTGGGTTGGGGAGTAAGCAGGTCGGAGAGGGAGGAAGGTGCCAGGGCGTGAAGGGATTTGGAGGCTGGCGAGGGCTGGTGTGATTGGGGCATTGGGGTTGGAGTTTAGTGTGTGTGTGGTAGGGACCCTGTGGAGCCTGGCGAGGGCTGGTGTGATGGGGGTACACGGGTGTAACCTTAGACTTGAGATAGGGAGGTGCCAATCGACTAACAAGCGGGTAAACCACTTACTGCCGTGTGAAGCGAGGAGGTGTTGAGGAGGATATCCGGCACAGCTTGGCATCTCTTCCCGACCTGTGGGGGGGTCCCTGGAGATACCGTGCAACAGCCTGTGGTGAGGAAGGGGCTGGCCAGGCTAGTGGTCATCCTGACCAGCTGGTCCATCGCCCCGTTGTCCTCGGGGCCACAGGGGAACTTCAGGGTGAAAAACGAGCAGAGACGCTGTAAGATCTTCTCTCTCCGGCTCCTGATGGCCACCATTTCCTTCAGCTCTGGCCACTCGGGGACATAGGTGTCCATCAGCTGGTCAGGGCAGGGACGCTGGAGAAGCCGTTTAATCCGCAAGGAAGTCTCGTACCGGCCGGTCAACAGCGCCCACTCCCGAGCCGTCTTTCCCCGATACACGTCCACAGCCTCCACGTCCGCTCCTAGATATTGGCCAATCAGTCGTCAAAAAAGGGGGCGCAATAGCGACACAGAGACCCTGGAGTTTAGCGGTTAGAGCCTTGGCCTCGCAGGTCAGGTAAGCGAGCGAGAAGCCCCGGGAGCAAGTCCCAGGTCCCAGGCATGTCAGGGCGGGAGGCAGGCGGGTTTCCTTCCTCCACGCACACGCACTCCTCTTGTTTACCAGCAGGAAGTAGGAACCTGCTTGTTAGTCGATTGACGCATTACTTAATTAATCAATAATATATAAGAAAAACATCTGCACACTCCATCTCCCACTAAATACACAGGTCACTACACTTTATGGTATATTCTGTGAAGCGCTTCGAGACGTCTCAATCAAGCGATAGGGCGCTTCACATAATACAAGGATTATAAGAATAATATAATAATGATTGTAACACTACTAATGTAATGATAATGTAATAATACATAATAAATAATAATAACGATACAAAAGTGGCCTGACAAACCCGGTGAACAGTCTATCAACTTCCCGGTTTAAAAAAGTAGACCTTACAGTTAGAATTATTGATCCAATCGAACCCGCGAAGCGAGGGCTCTAATCACTACACTAACGGATCCACACTGGCTCCGCGTTGAAGGAAGCCCTGACTAACCTGCCATTATCAGTGCCGCGACACACTCTGCTCTGCCCTGTATGGCTGCCTTCATTAAAGCAGTGAATCCTCGCCCATCTCTCATCTCCAACTCTGCCCCACTGTAGTAGTTCAGGAGGTGACTGACGATGGTGGCATGACCTGGGAGACAAGAGGAAGGGAGACAATCTGATGGCAGTCACTGAGGATCTCTTTCAAGGGGTCATAATCCCTTGAAAAATCGAATAAATAATAAATAATCATTCGGTGACTCAATCCGCAAATGATTGTGGGATGTTGCCGTGGCTGCCGAGTTTCGCCACAAAATATAAACAGTCACTACACTTGACAGTGTATCCTGTGAAGCGCTTTGAGACGTCTCAATGACATGATAAGGCGCTGTATCAAATGCAATATTATTGTTATTACTATTATTATTACTATTGCTATTATTATTACTATTATTATTTATTATTATGTGTAGGTTGCACTGACCCGCCTGAGCTGCTATCATTAGGGCTGTGTTGCCATCGTGGTCCTGGTGGTTGATGTCTATTCCTGGGCATTTGTCCAATGTGTTTACAATGTCCACAAACCCCTCGTAGCAGCTGATCATCAGCCCGTTCTGTTACACAATAAAACACGTTCAGCGAATCAACAGCAACAACACACATTTATATAATAATAATAATAATATCAATAATAATAACGATAATAATCCTTGCATTTCATACAGTACCTCATCACATCTTCGAGACATCTCAAAGCACTTCACAGGATACCATGTAAAGTGTACTGACTGTGCGTTTTGTGGTTCAAACGCAGCAGCCCAATTGTGCACGGGCTGAGACACACACACACTGAGCCGGGCTGAGACACACACACACACTGAGCCGGGCTGACACACACACACACACACACACACACACTGAGCCGGGCTGAGACACACACACACTGAGCCGGGCTGACACACACACACACACACTGAGCCGGGCTGAGACACACACACACACACACACACTGAGCCGGGCTGAGACACACACACACACACACACTGAGCCGGGCTGAGACACACACACACACTGAGCCGGGCTGACACACACACACACACACTGAGCCGGGCTGAGACACACACACACACACACACACACACACACTGAGCCGGGCTGAAACACACACACACACACACACATACTGAGCCAGGCTGAGACACACACACACACACACACACACACTGAGCCGGGCTGAGACACACACACACACACACACATACTGAGCCAGGCTGAGACACACACACACACACACACACACACTGAGCCGGGCTGAGACACACACACACTGAGCCGGGCTGAGACACACACACACACACACACACACACACACACTGAGCCGGGCTGAGACACACACACACACTGAGCCGGGCTGAGACACACACACACACTGAGCCGGGCTGAGACACACACACACTGAGAAGAATGGTAGGCTGATGAGGTGGGACCTTGCGAGTTCCTTACCCTCCCATTGCTGTCCAACTCCTTGACCTCCTGCTCGCTCACCCCACAGACCAGCCTGTCCCGGAGCTCTCTGCTGGCGTTCCCCACACACAGCGCGTACAGCGTCCGACTGTCCGACGGGATCGACGATTCCGAGCGTTCGTAATCAGGAAAGTCCAAGTCCTCAGACAGGTTGCTGACGGTCTCCGAGACTTCATCGGGATCACCAGAGCAGCTCGGAATGTCGTCCGACTCCTCGGCACAGCCCAGGGCGGGGCAGTGAGGACAGACCGGGCCTGGGAGCCCAGCTCTGGCTTTCTCCCCCCGCTGACCCCACGTGGGCGTCTCCTCTGTCATTCAGGCCAGACTGTCGGACCCCCTCCCCTTTCCCCACCGGCCTCGCTTGCTCCTCTTCCTCACGGTGGGAACGCCAGGAGACAAGGAACAGTTATAGAGCCCCATCGTCACATTGAGCCCATAGTGATGGGGCTTACACTGGCCACTCTATCTGTCGTTCTCCCTATCTTCCTGTCTGTCTGTCTGTCTGTCTGTCTGCCTCCCTGTATGTCTGTCTGACTGTCCGTCTCCCTGTCTGACTATCCGTCTCCCTGTCTCTCTGTGTGTCTGTCTCCCTGTCTCCGTGTCTGTCCGTCTGCGAGCGGCTGGACGGGGCTGGTGACCACGAGAGAGACAGTGCAGGTCCTCGTGTGATGGCTCAAAGGAAAAGTGAAACTAAATGGAGTTGCTGTCGGAATTAACTGGTAATCTAGAGAGCTTCTTCCCTCTTCAGCCCGATTACTGCGTAATGGTTTTCTCAACCACAGCCACCCCTGGTAACCTGATTACATGGCATTGGCCTGGCTAGGTCTCCGCTGCCAAAGTACAGCCAGAGAGAGGTCATTAAGTAGGAATAACTAATATAGTGCAATTCACGACCGGTAGCGTCTGAAGAACAGTGGCGGAGTCTGACCTGTCTGTCAGGAACCCGGCTGTTAGTCGATTGGCGGATGCCTTTACCATCTGGTAATAATCCCTTCCAAAAAAATTAAAATAATGAATGATAATGTGGTCACTCGATCCACGGCTGTTTGTGGGGACGCCGCTGGGCGAGATTGGCTGCTGCGTTTCACCTACAAAATATACAGTCACTCCGCTTTACAGTATATTCCGTGAAGCGCTTTGAGACGTCTCAAGGACGTGATGAGGCGCTGTATCGAATCCAAAGATTATTATTAAGAATAATTGGTCACTAGATCCACGACTGTTTGTAGGAAACTAATTATTATTATTATTATTATCCACCTGAACTGGGCACAGCCGGGAGTTCGGTTTAACGCCTCATCCAATGGATAGTGCCTCCGACTAATACCCACAAAATACACAGTCACTACACTTTTACAACATAGTCTGTGAAGCGCTTTGAGACGTCTCAGTGATAAGACCCTGAATCAAATGCAAGGATTATTATTATTATTGAAAAAACCTGATTGATAATCGTGGAGGGGGGGAAATCTAGACTCTGAACTTGACCAAAGGAATTTTGTTGAAATTCCTTTCTACCCCCTCTCCCCGACTCTCGGCCCACCCACACCCCCGCTCTCCCCCTCTCTTTTTCCCTCCCCACACACTCTCTCTCTCGTGTCAGGAAGTTTTGTTTCATACAAACAGGAAACGGTTCTGCTCTGCGCTCAAATAGCATGTGTCTGAATTGGACAGATTTCCGCAGACTTTTAGAGGAAACTCACATTCTCTTCTTAAAAAAAACTTCTGTGTTGGAGTGGCCTGGGGGTGGGGGTGGGGGAGTGGGGGGGCTAAGTAATAGTTTTATTGGTCACATCAATAGACAAAACTTACCCATTGCCTCTCCTCTCCTCTTTAAGCCCTTCACCTACAATATGCACAGTCACTACACTGGGAAAAGAGAAGGGAGTTTGTCTGTCTCTCTCTCTCCAGTGTCAACAACAACAAGTTGGATTTATATAGCACCCTTCATGCGGGGTAGAGTCCCGGAGTGCTTGACAGTGACAGAGTCGGTCCCCCCCACTCCCTCTCCCCCCCAGATAAAATTAGTCGCTCATTTCCCCGGTTGTTTGGGGGGGGCCGTCGCAAACCGCTTATCAACGACTCCTCTGGTCACTCGGTAAAAGAACCTTGTCTGTAGAGGAGCTAACGGCCAGCTCAACCCTTCCATCCCGTCGCCGTGTCAGGCACAGCTCCCGGGGTGGAGTCCGATTGATCCGTCGCTGCCTCATCAGGAGCTCAGGTGATGCGAATCTCGTAATATCCCTGTTCGACCTCGAGACTGTGACCACCTAAGGCAAAGCACGACTTAAAAATATCCCTCCCTCCCTCCCTGGCTCCCTCAGACCTCTGATCCCATCAACGACTTGAGGAAGGATTAGCTCCTTCATAAAGATCTTTTCCCGAGTGGGGAGGAGGGTGTGGAGAGAGCGAGAGAGAAAGAGAGTTTTGCCCTCTCATAACACTGCGTTAATTTTACTCTTAAATATGAAGTGCTTCCCGGGATTTGACTGTAAAGCGCAGTCTCTGTATTTTGGTGGTGAAATGTGGCAGACAATTCGCACACAGTGACGTCCCACAAACAGCCGTGAGGTCCAACAATCCAATTTCATCTGATGGGATTGTCAGACAGGAAACTGGGAGAGATTCCCTTCTCTTTGAATAGAATCCAACCTTGGTAACGAGTACGTGGGGTCAGGTGGATTGAGGGGGGGAGTGGTGGGGGGAGAGGGTGTTGGAGTGGGACGGTTGGATGGGGGCTGGGGGGGGGTGGAGGGGAAATAGAAGGGGAACTGGGGTTGACATTTCAACTTCCATAATATACTTAGTGAATTTAACATCAAATTTCCATGTGGTTCCGGACAATCCCTCCAGAGGCCACTGCTGTGTTAGTAACATCTTCTGATGGTGGGCAGATATATTCCACATTTACACGGAGCCCAGGGGGGGAACGAGCCAATGCGCTCAACCATCCTGCCTCAGCAACCAAGCTGGGGGGGGGGGGGGGGGCAGAAGGAAGATCCCTGAAACAACAACACCACGTCCGGAGGGCGTCCTAAGGCGCTGGGCGGTCAGGGATTTGGACCTGAGCGGGGGGTTGGGATCAGGAGGAGGTGGAGGGCGGAGCGGGGAGGGTGGGTGTGGAGTGGGGGGGGAGGTGAAGGAGGGTGTCCGAAGGCGCGGTCGAATAAGAAGGTCTTGACGGTGGCGAGGGGTGGAGCGGGGCCGAGGGTCCGCGGGATGGAGTTCCAGTGAGTAAAGGTCACAGGATCAGAAGATCGGTTCTTGTTAGGGTTCAGGGTTCTCCCAAACAGGACACAAACCGAACCTGGGTTACAGATCTCAGCCGAAGGACGGAGTGTCCGACAATGCAGCGTTTCCCCCCCAACCCTCATTTCCCCCAATTCCCCCCCTTTCCACTCCTCCCCGACCCCCCCTCCCCGATCCCACCCCCGCCCCTCGACCCCCCAGCACTGCACGGACAGACAATGGTTTCATAATCAAATCTGGGCAGAACAAGCCATCGTCACAGCGACTGAGCCGAGCTGATTAAGACTTGTTCGAAACCAGGAATTTCCTTATCTGAGAATTCCACATGGAGCTGACTCCAGGATAAAGGATCTAACCCCGACACTAAGCAGTGACTCACATCCTGAGCTGATTCAGTCCATGTTCTTCCACCCCCCCCCCGTCTCCCACCCCCCCCCCACCCACACATCTCTCCCCACCCACCCACCCCCCCCACCCCACCACCCCCACACCATCTCTCTCTATATGTAGCTGTTCAGGGTACGGAACATGGAACTCAGACAGTCTACGACGGTGGAAAAGGCAGATGATGGTGCACGTTGATCCAGCTGGTGGCACCACAGCCTCAGTTATAGGGAAGAGACGAACAGTGAGAAGTGGACGTACTCACAATACGACGTCTCAAAGCGCTTCACAGACTGCACTGCAACAGGTAGTGGTGGGTGAAACGCGACAGCCATTGCCAATTGTGGAGACCCTGCAGCTCAGGGGTTAGAGCACTCGCCTCGCAAGCGAGAGGACCCGGGTTCGATTCCCAACCAGCGGCTAAACCTTGGGCAAGTTTCCTAACACGCACACGCATATGCACGCCCGATAATAATACCGCAGGAAAAAAAACAATAATAAAATTGGTCCCTTCAATCCACGGCTGTTTGTGGGGACACTGCTGGGCGCAATGGCTGCCGTGCGAATGCCCACAAAATATATACCGTCAATTCACTTTACAGTGTATCCTGTGAAGTGCTTTGAGACGTCTCGAAGACGTGAACAGGCGCTGTATGAAATGCCAGGATTACTATTTATTTATTATTCCAGCAGCGTCCCACAAACAGTCATAAATTGAATGATTATGAAGATAATTAATAATAATAATTTTTTTGTAGAGAGTGACGTCCCACGAACAGACTGTTGTTTATCTAGCAGTAAGTAGGAATCCAAGTTGTTAAGTCAGTTCGCTTTTCCGGAGGTTATTAATCCCTTAAAAAAAATAATTTGGTCACTCAATCCATGACTGTTTGTGGGACACTGCTGTGCGCAATTGGCTGCCGCGTTTCACCTAAAAAATACACGGCCTCTCACACATTTGACCAGCAAAAATGACATAATTATAATAATAATGACCCTTGAATTCGCGACAGTGCCTCATCTTCGAGACGTCTCAAAGCGCTTCACAGGAATGTACACCGTAAAGTGGATTGACTTTATATAAGTAAAAATTTACAAAGACTACGTCCTGTGAAGCGCTTTGAGACGTCCGGAAGATGAGGCACTATATCAAATGCAAGGATTATGATTATTATTAATAAGTTGCAGAGTTCCAGGAAGTTTGAAGAGTTAAACTTGGAGGAGCTGTGCAGGGCGGAGCTGCAGCAATGTCTGGCTCGCTCCCGTGTGAAATGGGGGGAATCGAATGTCACTTAATTGGTTCCAGATGTGAGGGAGGGGGGGGGCCTGGCTCTCCCTCTCTCTCTCTCTCATGATTCTTCTTCATTCTTTCCCTTACTCTCTCAATTTCTCTTGGAGTAAGAGAGAGAGAGAGAGAGAGAGCGGGGAGAGAGAAAAAGGGAGGACAGCGAGGAGGGAAGTTGGGAGAGGGATTGAATAAGAGAGAAGGAGAAAGAAATGGGACGGGAGAAAGGAAGTGAGAGAGAGAGAGAGAGAAAAGGGGACAAGAGAGGGAGCGAGGGGGGAAAATGGAGATAGAGGGAGAGAGTGGGAGAAAAATTGTGAGGAAGAGATATTTTGGGGGTCATTAGCGTGTCTGACACACCCGGAAACCCGTCATCGTTGCTTAAGAATCTCCAAACCAAACTGAGAATTCCCCACATCCCACCTACATTTCACATGGGAATCCCAGAGATAAGATTGTTGGGATGGAATGCGCTCTCTCTCTCTCTCTCTCCCTGGAGGGACGTCTCCTGTTTATCTAATTCCGGAGAGTATTAGGCACAGGTTGGCGAGAGTCAAGGCTTTTGGGTGTGCGTTGGGG